CCCATTCCACAACTCAAGCCTTTTCCTCACCTTTTAACTTTTCAACCTCATTTTCTTGGTCATTTATTTTACATACAAGATAACTTTTTTTCCCTCGTCCTTCTGTTCATCTTTACGTAATGGGAAAGACTTTTATTGACTAACAGTAAACAACAAAGAAACTAGTTTATCAGTGGCATTCCAATCCTCAAAATACAAATGAACATTTGCTACTTTTGTTTTTTTCAAAGAAGAAAAAGGAAAAAACAAAAGAACCGAGAAACTGAACTTTTAAATCAAGTGAAAGATCAATTAAAAGTGAATGAACGACCAAAAAAAACAAAATGTCTTTTCAAGATAACCGATATAACTCCCAGCTTGGAGTCCAATCAAAAACTTGAATAAAAGTTTAAAACCGATTTCATCGAAAATGCTTGTCGAAATGAAATGCAAAAAATCGATTCTTTTGTTAGCAAATGTCATTTGGTCAGAAAATCTGAAATTCCAATAAATCTGTAGAGTCAAGATTATCGACTTTGAAATGCTCTTTTGCAAACATTGACAGAGACATAACTTTCAATGAAACATTTTAAATTAATGAGCATCAATTAAATTCGTATCAATCAGTTTTTGCTAGAAATGTTGATTGTTCAGCGAGAAAAGGAAAAATTCCAACAATTTTCCAGACTTGAACCATTTCCAAAGCAGACGGAATGTTGAAATTTAATTTGGCAAAAATGATGAAAGCAAATATTACATTTATTGGACCATTTATTATTCTTGACTGAAACCATAAAACAATGAAGTTTAAAAGAAGAAGAAGAAAAAAAAAGTTTGGTAAACTTTGAGATTTAATGAAAATTGAAAGCAAAAACAATGACGATAAATAAATAAAGCTCATGTTTTCAGTTGAAAATTTTTCATCTTTTACTTGAACCATTTGAAAAATGATCATTTTACATTCTGATGTATTTGCCAAGTTTAACACCTTTAACCAGCCGTAAGCTTTCCTTTCCTACTCTTTTGCCCATCATGATATCATTTGCTAATGACCTGAGCAAGAAAAGGCATTTCTCAAAATGATGACCTTTGAAGAAAAAAGAAGAAGAAAAGCAAAAAAAAAGATTCACATTTTTCTTGCTCAAAGTTCGTCTTCTGTCCACTGCTTTCACCAAATGTTTCGAACATTTTTAAATTCTTTTTTCGCCATCATCTTCATCAGACCAATTTATTTTCACACCACTTACACAAAGAGAGGTGAAAATGTTGACACAAACCAGCCACCCACTGGTTGAATTATTAGAGAAATGATCATTTTCGCCAAACTAACCTGTGTGGATAAATTATGGGACTTTTACCCATACAAATACATTATAAAAAGTCCCATAATTTATCCACACAGGTTAAAGGATCACTTTAAATCTGATGATTGTTGATGTCTTTTCTCGTCCAAAATAGAATCCATTATAAATTCATTTCAGAACGAAAATATGAATTAAACAAGAGCAGAAGAAAATGTTGCAAATGAATAATTTCACTTTTACACCTTTTAAGGTCATTTATCATAATTTAAGAGTAAAAGTTTTGCGTCCAAAAATAGAAAATCTTTTCATGAAAATCATTTTTCTTTTCGTCATTAAATGTTGATTTAAACTCGAAACTGATCTCGACAAAATGAATCAACTTTTTTAAGCAAACTGGCATTTTTGCTGGTTAACAGCTTTCATTGCTCAAGTTCATTTGATCTTTTCTTTTTTCATTCATTTCCATTATCAAACAGATGAATAATATGCAAAATAATAGCCTCGAGTAACTCTTTACTTCCAACTGAGTTATCGTTGAATTTGAAGCAAAATGTATAACAATATTTGTATCAATTTTATCATTCTTGTTCATCTCAACCCTGACTTTACTTGTTATGTCAACACATTTGCACTTCAACTTGGCAGCATTTCAAGAAGCATATCATTACAAGAATAATTGGTTCATCTCTTGAAACAATATGTTCAACATGATTTCACTTGGAAAACTTCATTTTTTCGATTCTTGCTGTTTCGAACATTTTCCATGATGACAACAATCGATGATCAAATTTCTTCAGCAAAAGAAAATAATCTGAAAAGTTCTTTAAAAGTAACTCTCTTTGCATCGATAAATTAATTTCATTCTGATCCATTAAAAAGGATTTTAAAAGATGGTTACTACTAGTGAACCACACCTAAAAGTTCAGTTCTTTATATCAATCTGTTTTCGACTAATTCCCTGTTTTCGTTATTAATAACAATTACCAGTTGAACAGGAAAATGGTTAAACTAAATTGGTTGGAAAAAGGAGAAGAGAAAAGCAATAATTCCCAATTGAAATGATTAATGAATTGCAATGAATTATCGATATTTCAAGGCAACCAAACTGTTCAACAATTATAACGAAAGGGAAAAAACTTTACTTGAAATTATTGCAAAAAGTGAACAAAAGTTGAGATGAAATTACAATGAAAAGAAGAGGAAAAAATGTTTGATTCGGTGAAATGGTAAAGAGATAATATGTCCAAAATCGAATGGTAATTCAAGGCTTTAGCATGCTTAATGAGGCTGGAGTTTGGAATGAACAAAAAAGATGAAAATTGATACTTGAAAATGTTGCCTCAATTGATGAAGTTATCTGAAAAGTCATCATTAATTGTAAAGGGAATGCTTATGTTACTCTTTTTGTCCTTTCTGGTTAAACATGGTTGAATTATCTCGTCAATTTGAATATTTTTTTATCTTCATTGTGTTGAAATTAAAAGGAAAGCCAAGAGTATATACAACTTGAATAACAATCTGTAATTCAAGTCGATGGCAAAAAATATTTTTTTTCTCCTTCTTTTCTCTCTTCTTCCCTGATTCCATTGTTTTTCAATTAATTGGTTTCAGGGTGTGCTTTATCATCATCATCATGAGTCTTTATATATTGGACAAAAGATATAACACACCCGAGTGGGCTCATTTGTTTCCATACATGCAAGTATATTGAGAAGAAAAGACAGGGGAAAAGGAGAAAATCATGTTAACAATGAGTTTAAATGGATGGCTGATGCATGAAAAGTTGATGAACATGACAGTGATAGTGAACAGTTCTAATGGAAACTCAATAGTTTTATTCAAACTTCATAATGACAATTATATTAGTTCGTAGCGACATTGATTAACAAAATTTCGAAATTCATATTTTCTTTCAACTTCGAAATGACTCTTCTTCTGAAGACAAGGAAATTCAGTATTTCGAGTGAGATAGAAAATGAAAAAAGCGAAATCCATTTTTTGTTTCCACAAAATATTCTGCCGAAACTGTGTTCGATTCAAATGTTAGTTTTCGAAAAAATCGATTCACAAAAGTTCGATATGCAAATTTTCTCTTTTAGTTTCGAAATTTCGACTTCTGTTTCGAAGTAAATTTGCAAATTCGAGTCAAGTCAAGAACGAAAAGTTCAAAACTTCATTTTTCGTTTCAAATTCTTGCAATTTTTTCGTTCTTCTGTTCAAAGTCTTAATGTTTTGGTGTTCGAATTTTTCTTATAGATAATTAATGCTTCGAAAACTTGATAAATCGATTTCATGAAATTGAAGGTGAATATGAAAGGAATGAGAAAACCAAGAAAATTTATTTTTTGAAGCTCGATTTTGTTGAAATTATTTTTTCTCCTCTATTCAACTTTGAAAATCAAACAAAGAAAGTGAAAAATTCTGTCCATGCAAACACTTTTCTCGTCCATTGAGCACTTTTCTTGACCATTTAGCAAAAATGAACTGATCTTTAAATTGATTTCCAATTGATTTTCTTTCCTTTTCAACCATTCAGTTTAGTCGAAAACATGTTTTCTTATTAATTTTAGCCTAAAAGATGACATTGAATCGAGAAAAGCAAGTTTCAATAAAAAAGAAAAAAGTTTTGCAAATTTTTCTGTTGCAAGAAAAGAAAAGTGTAAACATGAAAAGAGTTGATCATGAAAAGAAGAGCAGAAAAAGAAATTCCATAGAAAATGACTTTTCATTTGAATCGGGATTTAAATTAAATGAATAAAGATTGAGCACAAAGTTTGCCTTGAAAGAAGAAAGTTAATAAAGATGTATTCAGAAGGAAAAGAATTTTCACCAAGAAATGAATCAAATTTTTATTCTAATCTTGTAAAGAAAAGGATTTAAGTCGAGAAAATGACGATTGGTTAATGAGAGAGAAAATGATTTATCTGGGGAAGAAAAAAGAACAAGAAATTCATCATCTTCAGTTGAATATTCAAATCCCGTTTGATGGTTTCTCACAATCATTTACTGAGTTGCCACACTTTTCTCGATAACTAATGATGAAAGGAAAGAAATGAAATATAGTTGAACGATAATCCAGTCACCTTTCAAGTTAAGGTTTCCCCATGAATCCTGAAAAGTGTTTCATCTTTTAACAGATTCAACAGATGCAACAATATTCTTCTCTTTTCCAGATAATTCATCTTTTCCAAACTTGAACCCAATCGTGTTCAAAGTTATGACCTTTTCCTTATCCTTTTACAGCTTTACCTCAAACCAGGCTAGTTATGCTTCCACAGATATAATAATGATATTATGTTATTTAAAACATTTTGGTTTCTAGCTTTTTTCTGCTTCTTTTTGCTTTACACTTAAATCCTGTCGTCAAATGAAAATCTCATTATTAATGATTCCAATGTTTTCCTTTTGCATTATCATAATTGTAATGCGCTTTCATTTTCAACTTTAAGCCAACCTTTAATGATGACTTTGATTTGTTAAAATGCTAAATGCAAAGTAAAAACAATAAATCAATTTGAGCAAAAACTCATCTTTTCACGTTTCATATGCAGATCGAGTTTACTTTTAGGACATTTTAGAATTTAAATTTTTGAGTTTTTTCGAGTTATAACGAAATTTCGAGTTTTGATGTTCCATTGAGTGCCAATGCTGAGTTTTTGATGATTTTTGATGCTTGATGTTTTTCTAATCTGATTGTCTTTTCTGGTTCTATTTCAGGCTGAATATGGCTCTGAGGAAAGGAGAAAATGATTCGACCATTTCATGGAAGTTTCGCCTCGTCAATGTTATTTTACACATTCTGGTTGTACAACTGATAATGTACACTGTCAATAAAGTGCTAAACTGTTCAAAACAAATGTCACTCCTTGTGGCGCTTCACTTTGCCGTTCATCCAATTCACACAGAAGCTGTAAGTCACCAACTTTTAGAGTAAATTGCAAATATTGACTCTGATATCTCCATTCCAGGTTTCAAGTAATGTTGGAAGAGCCGATATACTTTGTAGCATATTTTCACTACTAACATTTATACTATTCTCAAGGTAAGAATTATTCCCCAAAAGATGAATTTCAAAATTGGACCAATAATTTTGGGAACTAAAAAGACTAATTACGAACCGAAATATCAATACTTTTAAAATCACTCAGAAAATTGCAGTTCTCATGTTGGAATTCATCTCTGTACAAAAGACTTTTGGATTTGAAAAGTTTTTCACTTTCTCAGTCTTTTTGCCAATGTCCAATGATGAGATAAACTGTGACTCTTAGAACAAAATCTGCATTAAATTGTTGAAATATTATCGACTTTGGAAGTCAACTTTTCCATAGAATTTTCAAGTTCTCAAATTGAATTTGACCTGAAAACAATGATAATGATTTCAACCTAAATACATAAACTTGTGAAATTTTATTGTTCCCAAACTTATCGTCCTCAACATCAATTTAAATATGTTTTAACTTATTTTTACTCTTAACTTTACTCCCTTTACCAGAGCATATAAATCCATGCTGCAAGATAAAAGCAATAATAAAAGTATAATATTCCATCTTGTCTTGTCTTGTACAACTTCAACGATGGCATTGCTTTCAAAGGAAACTGGAATCACAATTCTTCCAATTTGTATTCTTTATTACGTCTTTAAATTGACTCAACAAGGATCATTAGCCATAACTCGAAACAGGTAAGATGCAAAATTTGAACACATTTGGAAAAGAATGACAAAAAAATGAAATGAAAACAAAATGAAGAAAAAAACGAAATGAGGAAAATTACGAGTAAAAACGAGTTTCATGTTGAAATGAAAAGCATGATGAACATGATGAAAATAGACAAAGATTTTTTCGCCTAAAAATGTCTTTATATTCTTATTGCTCGTTTAAAGCGATAAATTTATTTTATACACATTTCTTCGAGTTTTCCCTTTTCTCTTCCTCACTCAACATTATCATTATCATTGTATATTCATAATCATTTATTGCTTTACAAGATAATACTTTCAACAGAACAAAGAATAAAGAAAGAGATTGAATAACAATCATTATTAACATCATAATCATCACCATTAGTATGCAGACTAAAAAGGAAAGGAAAAGATAACTTTTAAATTTGATAAGAATGCTGATAATAAAGGAAAACATGGAAATTGAAATTTTTCATTCAATAAAGAAGTGACAAAACATGGATAAAAACAATGGCCAAGATTTAATGGACTTCATTCAAAAAATTATATTAAATGGCAAAGTTCAGTTGATAAAGTTTGTCAAAATTAACATGCACAAAATTCATTCAGCTTCCCAGCTCGAGGCTGTGATGATCTCACATTTTATGCTCACTTACGATAGCAATGACAAGCTTGAAAAGACTCGTTGCGAGTGCAAATCAAGCAAAAACTTGCTATTGAAGTTGTACACGAAACCCCATAAGTCGAATCGGTCGACTCGATTGTCTCTCATGTTGAAACTGTTGATTGAATTTGTAGGAAACTCATTGAACTTTTTAATGAACCTAATCATTTTAAACAGAGATTTCATAATTTTGACAGCCTTTAACAATCGCTTGATGAATACTTTTCCTAAAAAGCGTGGATCTTGGTATATAACAAGAAGGGTTTTCTTCTTCAGAGGTCGACTGACTTCTCAGGAATAGCACCGAGGAACAAAGATCGGAAGATCTCAATCACAAATAGACTTGAATAACTATTTAAACTAATCATTAAAATTCAATACAGAAACTTTAATTTTCATAATTAATGCAGGAGCAAGCTTTCGAGAAATAGTAAAAGGGAGAAGAGTAATTTACTTCAATAGTAAGAGATGAACTAAAAGTCAGGAAAAGAAAGAGCAAAGTGATTATTTATGGTCACTAAGAAACGGTTACAAAATGAGCGTAATTTGAATTTAACCAATAAGCATAAATAAGATAAGGATGATTGAGAAAGATATCAAAGGGGGAAGCAAACCGTCGTGCGACTGTCATACCCTAACAAGCTTGAGAATGCTTAAGTGAAAAAAAGAAAATATAACGGTTTTGGGAAACTAGAATGAAAACAACTCATGCTGGAATTATCACAGTGCGTCTCGACTTGGTTTTCTCGCTCTAATGACGAAATCGATTTGACCTCTAATATCTTCATAAGTGATTCTCGGAAATGACACTGGACGATCTTGACTTTAAAATATAGTGAAATAACTATCTGAGAAAAGCACATCGAATCCGAGAGCAGATTAATAGCAGAAAAATATCGCATAAATTAATTGAAATGCCCTGTAAAAGAAACTAATAAGAAAGCAATTTTTCAGTTTTCTGCTTTTATCCAAGTTTATCTGAACCCTATTTGTTACATCATATTTTTCATAAAAGACAGTTCGCATAAAAATTTAAAAAAGTAACAGAACATGGAAACTCAACAGTTCATTTCTTGTCTTTTTTCGGGCTGTAGTTTACATGTTTAGTTCAATTTTGATTTCAATTTCGACTCAAATGCTCAAAAATTCAAAGGTCATTTTGCAAAAGAGTTTCTTAGAGTCTAGCGATTCAGTTATTTTTATCATCGTTCCTTCCTTTTATTGCACCTGATGGATGTGGAAACATTTTGTTGATTAAAAAAAGAGTTTCAATAAGTTAAAGTTTTTTTAAGAGTTGAAATTTCGTCAACATTGAATGGATAAAAAGAAACATTCATTTCAATTAATGTTTCAATTCATGTTGACATTTCAATTTTTTCATCTACTCCTTCATGATGGATAACTTTGATGTGTGCATTTATATTTCATGGGATTATTTTGTGCTTCTCCTTCAGTAGCAAGTCTACATTTTTGATGGATTAATTCATCTTTTATTAGAAAACTTGTTCAACATTTTCTATTGAAAATGACTTAAAAATTGACTTTTTTCTACCTTTTCCCAACATTTTGAGCAGAAAATATCATTTGACATTTTCCCTATTCTAATGCCTGGTTATTTTTGCGTTTCATTTGTATTTGTAATATCTTTATGTTTACTATTAATAACCTTTTCTGCTTCCTTTGTGGTTCAACAAAGTCAAAGTAAATACAAAAAGATGCAATTAAAAATTGATGGAAAACTGTTTGTATTTGAAAAATGTGAAATTAATAATGATATTTATTTCACATGTACTAAGGTGAATGTTGGTGTATCCACAAAGGTATTATTGGAGGAGAGGGGAGAAGAGAAAAAAACATTCTTTTTGCCAGTTTCCCAATGTTGATAATAATGATAATGAATATGTGAATAAATGAGACTCATGGAAAGAAAGGAAAGAGAAAGAAATGAAAAATGATGGAAAAAAGGAAAACTCATCAGAAAAGTAGAAACAGATATTTTTTATTTACCATGTAAATAAATGCATACAAGTATAATTAGAATAATGAAAATGATGATAATGTAACTCTGATTAAAACAATTTTGATTCATATATCAAATGGTAATATCGTAATAAGTACAAGATTAAATTGATATGGAAAATTGGCAACCTTTGCCATTAAAATCTAGCATTTAATTATCAAAAGAGTTGAGATTTTTGTGTTTGAATATTGTAAAGTTATGAGAGAAAAGGTTACTTTTTGAAGAATGCTTGCAAATGCGAAAACGTGAACGGGAAATCTCTCACTTTCTGTGTTTTCTTTTCATCGAAAGGTGTGAAGATGAACGCTTTACGGAATGGAACTTTCATAGCTTTCGAAATTCATCGCTTGATTTTCTTTGCGCCAATTCAGTGTTCTCTTAATATCTCAAATCATTCAAACTGAAAACTTTTGCTTGTCGTGATTGACTTTTTTCCGTTTTCTCTAGCTTCCATTTTCACTCTTCTCGTAATCTTTCGTAATAATTATCATGTTGTTCAGTTTCAGTCGATTCTGAGCTTTCCATATCCAACCGCAAAATATATTTGACACCCTAATATCTTGATTCAGTGCTGAAGCACTAGCAGAATAAACTTGTACCATCAACATATTTAAATTAAAGAATGCACTTTAAGTTTGAATATGATAATTAATTTTTTCCCTCCTTTCAATGGTTGTTATCCTTTTTGTCAAATATTCAGTCTTCTCAACCATCTGTGCCCAATCATGTTTTAAAAATGCTGAAGCAAACATGATACTCAGCTAAAAAGCCATTTAGACCATTATCAATGTTTAACACTCTTTTAACCTTTACAAAACTGTCCAGAGTCAAGCATTTTTTTCTGGCTTCCTTTTGTAAGGTCATTTTCAAATGTTGATTATTAAAAGGAAATGAAAATGTTCTGAACATTTTCATTTTTAATCGGCTTAAGGCTGACTCTTTATCTTGCCTTTTCCCATTTCTCATCTTTCATTATTTTAATGTTCAAGTTGTTATTTCTTCTCTCTCTCTCTCTGTACTTCAAATAGCAATAATATTTTTACATTGTAATTAATGGTTCAATATTATTCATTCAAATTTACTTTACATTTTAATTTGTGATTCAACAAACGGAAATTTGAGACTTCATTGCAATGGCAGAGCTGATCATCATCATCCACATAAAAGCCATAATCCAATAACATTTATCAAACAGAAACTACAAACTTCGGCATAAATTAAAATAATGATTGCTCAGTAATCGACAAAATCAATTGAATCCACAAAACATAATAAACTCATCCTTTCCATGAATCTAAATCCATCGATTTTACTCTCAAAAAGTTGACCAATTTCGAACCAAGTCGAAGTTATATCCAAACTCCACTCTGAAGTTCTGAACTCCAAAGTGATCATCAATTGCGAAATTGCAGTTTCTAATTTATCCTTTTTTCCAAATATTCAAAAGTTGATCAGATATCACAGTTGAATGGATAAGACTTTGAGCTGACTCGCATTTTTCAATTGCAATAATGAAATGCTCTTGTTCAACCCTGTTGGACATTATTTTACCAGTTTTACATGAGCATCTTATCCTTGGCCACAAAGCCTCTATCAAAACAGATTAACATGACCAAATGATTCAACATTGTTTCCCTTTCCTTTTATCCTTCAAAAAATTTACTCTCTTTGATTGATATTGATATATCAAGCTAAATATGTAGCTAAACATGATGAGCTTGTAATAAATATATTCCTGCACTTAGCAACTAATATCTAATAATATAAACAGTTGACTATTATTATCTTTAAGCTTCATATGCCATACAAGTTTGCTTGTGTAGTTTTGGGATAAACAAATGGACTCCCAGAGGACATATAAAAGTATTATTTCTCTACTTTTTTCTTCTTCTTTCATCTCTTCTTTTCTCCTTCCATCTTTCTGTTTATTCAATTGAAACTTTTTACCTGAAAATTTTTGATATGTTAAGAGGTACATCCTTTATAGCTTATAAATCTAGACAGTTTGCTTTATCGAGAGGTAAAAACAGGGAGCAAAGGAAAGCGAAAAAATGATGAAAATTTATCATTTGGTAAATATTGATACAAATGCAGCTTTGAAATGGTCAAAGTTTTTCGATATTAATGTTTAGATTTAATAGATTTATTTGGATTTTTGCTTCTCTTTTAAACAAAATGAACATATTGTGACAGCTCTTTGTTGACTTAAACTGAGACTGAAAATTGTCTAAATCCAAAAGAAAGTTTACATTCCAAACATGGATTTTGAATCCATAATTTTACTGTCACAAGAGTTGATGTTTCATATAATTGAATGTGAAGATTTTGAGAGAATATCAAATTCGTCAAGTTCAATGAAAACTCGAATTTTATTTCAGCCATGAAAAGAAAAGAAATTCAAAGTTTTTCCTTTAATGATACAAGTTTGCAAACAAAATGTAACAAAGTTTTTATAACTGATGAACATCGATCAAGCGACTTTTGCGATTTCAGGCAAATGCTATTACCATTTGATGAATGAATTTGGAAAGTTATTGAGATGAAATTGAATTTATTTGAATCTTAAACTTTCTTTCAGTGATATTAAGTAATACAAATAACCGCAAAGCTGGAAAAGACCGAAGATGCTCATTGAAGATGTGAAATGATGACACTGCAAGATGCAAAAGTAGAAAAACTTTTTCCTGATAAGCTAATTTCAATGAATGAAAACAGTGATTGCGCCAATTTACAGTGCAAACAAATTCAGCATTATTATTGGAATGAATTGTGTTTGGAAAATGAAACAAAAAACGGTTGAAAATGGTTAAAGGTTGTGGTAAAAAGAGTAAAAGTACATGAAAGTTTTCACCCAAATTGAACTGAAGTGATTGCGTTTGCAGTTTCTTTGCACACAATTTTTTTTCTCTTTTTTTCATTTCCATTTTTTTTCATCGTTTTTAGGTTTACTCTGTTACTTTGTTTATTTGCTTACTTTTTCAGTTTCAGAGTGATTTTCAGTGAATACACTTTACAAACTTTTAATCTATGTGCATTCTTTAAAGGGAATGATAGAGAAGGAGAGAGGAAAAAGGTTATAAAAGCAACAGAGCAAAGGGTAAAGGAAAGCAGAAAAGGTAACAATTTTTGCAACTCTTTGGTAAAAACAATGTAAATGTAAACCATTTTTGCATTTCTACACTTTTTACACCTTTAGGATATTGTATTAGAGGTTGAAGGGAAAAAAGTAACCAAAAAGTAACCAAATATAGTTAATAAAATAGTTGAATGAAAACTATGCTTTATTCAGCATTCTTTATTTGACAATATTTTATTGTTTATATTCACTCGTAATTGAATTGAAATTTATGCTCTAACAAGTTCACTTAGCTGTAAATGATTTCCAATCTATGGCAAGGAAAGAATCATAAAAATGTATTTCTTTCGTTGGTTTTATTCAAATCAAACCAAGCTTTTCAAAATTAACCTAATTTACCCTTTTGAAAAATCTAATTTGACAAATCAGTTCCTGTCTTTTGGTGTGTTTGGTGTTATAAAAACGTTCAAACGACTTTTTTCTACCTTTATCTGCTTAGAACTTCAGAATAGAATTGGAGATAAAATTCGAAATATTTTGGTTACTTTGATTTTGAAACTTTGCGTCAAGGTTTTCTGAGGGCTTAGTTTTCCTTATTAGATTGACCATTAGTTGATAACGATTCCGAAAAGACGGGCTTTAAAAACTTTTCTCAAAACTAAATTTGTTGTAAAAGCAAATGATTTACTCGATCACTTCGTTTCTAGACTCTAGTTTGACTCTTTAATTTTTACAATTTGTAATTCCATTTTTGTAATTTCAATGATCGCTTTAAATTAAACAACATGCTCATTTAGATTGCTCATTCAATTTGTTTGCTTATTTGAATTTTCTTTAAGTAAACTTTTTTCAGCATTTACATGCAACTACTATTTTGAGTAAACACTTTTCAGACTCAGACAAAGCCAAGATTCATCTAAAAGAGGTCTTTTCATTGGTAGGTAATCCAATTAAATGTAACCAGTTGATGGTGTCTGCTAGCAATTGACTTGAGAATGACTTTCATTGCACCAAGAACTCATTAGATCATCGAGATTCAATGAAAAAAGCGAATATCTTACATCGAAAAATTCTTGATTATTTACAACAGTTTAATAAATTTCAAAGTCTTTTTTAGTAGCTCACACTTTCAACATTTAGGCCATCTTTGCTTATCAATACCATCTACTAGTTTCAAAATATGGTCATGCCAATCGAAAATCAGAGAATATTCCATTTCGTCTGAATCTTTACTGATCACTTGCTAGCTCGAAAAGCAATGGACTCTTTCACCACGAGAAGTCAAATGAAAAGTTGATGAATCGGATAAAGAAAAGAGAGCAAAGAAAAATGAATGAGAAATAAAATTGAGTCGAAAAATGCAATCCTTTCCATCATTAAAAGTATCACCAAATAATCTCACCTTGAAACGTTTTCGTAATCTTTATCCATTCCATTATCAGCATCATCAGTGAAGCCCTTTTCATCAGCCAAATCATCGATGAATGAGCAACTCGTTTCTCTTTTTATTTGGTTACCACTCTTTTCACCTAACTCTTTCCACTCAATCATTATGGATTAAAGTTGGTAACATCAAGAGATACTTTTCAACTCTTTTCTGCTTTACTCTTTACTCTTCCTCACTTCTAGTTAAAACTAACTAAGTATTATGATTTCATCAACGACCATTTACTTCTTTCACTTTTACTCTTTCCCTTCTTCATACATGAGGATTCACTTTACTCAATGCTTCCATCATCATGATGATCATGATGATGATGGTAGGTGGGCTCATGTTCATTCTGATCACATCACATAAGCACATAAGATCCAGACTAATTTAATTCTTTACCTTAATAGAAAAAAAAGAAAAAAAAGTAAAAGTTATCCTTCGATTTATATCGACAATTTAGTCAACTGATTGTTTCTCAAACTAACTCACCAACAATCAAAAGATTAATCCAAATCTTTATTTGCCCTGACATTTTCCCACTGAATCGCGATAAGCTTCATCTCAAGCTTCAATAAGTGCCATTATTATCATCATTATCAACTCGAAGAAGCAAAAGAAGAGAAAAAAAATCATTTACTTTAATAACACAAGCACAGTCGAGCTCACAATAATAATCGTTTTCGTAGAACCGAAGAAAATTTCGCATTTTCTGGATTAAACTTTCCATCCAAAATGTTGATTATCAAAAGAAAACAAAATGATCGAAAAATCTTAACAAAATTTTCGTCACTTACAGCCTTTTGCTACCAGTCAACGAAAACTTTCCCTCCAAGTCACTGGGAGTGATTCACTCCGAGGAGTGGAATGTCAATGATAATGTTGAGTCTTTGGTACAAGAGTACTGATAACATCAAAATGTTTAAAAGCAAAAACGAGAGAAAATGAAAAATGGTTAAAATGATAATAAAGTTGTTATACAGAAAAAAAGCAACAAAAAAACAAACCAAATTGTTGGCCAAATTATTCGACTCTCGATGCAATATTTCATTTTAAAATTAACATCATTTTCCTTTTTTCATGTAACTCTTTTTCCTTCAACATTTTCCTCATTTCTGCCACCTTTTTATACTCATTCATTCATAATCATTCATTATTGCGATAAAGTTTCTCAATTTTACATCAACTAACTCTTTTTGTCTTTTCACCAACAGAATCTGTCTCATCTATTGCAATAAAAATTTATCTCAATCAATCTATTATGAAAGTAAAGCGCATCATTCATCATCATCAACTCAACCAAGTTTAACCTGTTTATGTGCACCCATTATTGTACCTGTGATTATGGTAAGAGCAACGAATTTTCACATTCCTTTGTTCACTTCAATTGTGACCGCAAAATCAGTTGAAATCGACATTTAAATGCAAATGTAAAGAAAATTTTGTCTTCAAAGAGCGTTAACCATTCAGATAATAGTTCAACGATTCATCATTCAATCTCTCAACATCAATTGAACGGAAAACAAGAGTTGAACAAAAGTGAATAAAAATTGTTGAATAATGAATGTTTTGAGTTTTCAGTCCATTATTTACTGAATGTTTTACTTTTGTAAAATGTATCAAAACATATTGAAATTAATCGCGACTTTTGCCTTTGCTTTTCAACTTTACACTTGATTGAAATATCATTGGCAACTTTTTTTGCTTTCAAATCTTATTGATCTTGAACTCCTTGTTTAGCTACTATTTTTACCTTCTCCTTTGATCATACTTTTTGCATCATTATTTTATTATCAATCAACTGGCAATGCTATTTTGGACAGCAAGAAAAGTAGTTGTAATAATAGTAATAACAATAAACCCAAATTACTTTTCAACATTATTACAGTTTTGTCCTTGTTGTTGTCATCGAGTCACTATTATTTAGTATAAAGTCATTTGTCAATTACATTTTGCATATTGTCAACAACTGACATTATTGAATAACACTCATTATCTTATCCCAAAAACACTGACCAGATAATAATGATGATCATAATTGTGATCCTTTTTCTCTCTTCTTTCTGTTTCATAATATTCTGTGGTTTCATCGTGATGTAATCTCATTAGACTGCTGCCTTATTGTGGTTCAGAGTGTCAATGTTACATGGAACTCTGCCCATTTTCAGTCAACAAGACAATCCAGCGTCCTTTTCCAATTCCTTGTTAACAAGGTAAGAAGCGTTCCTTAATAACAGCTAAACTTGAATCTAATGAAGGTTTGAGAAAAAACTGTCAAACACTAAATTCGGAAACATTGATGTCGCCAAATTACGCATGATAGATGAGTGCAAAACTGTGACAAATGGAAGACATAATTCGATTGAAATATTAGTTAAGACTTAAGATACTTTGAGCAGAGTCTTTCGAGCGATGAGTTTTCAAAGATAAAACTTTATGTGAAGAATGTTTTTGTAAGCATTCGAAGATTGAATGCATTTTTCGTATTCGTGACGATAACACGTTTGGAAAATTTGGGGAAATGTTTGCGCTAGACTGAAGTTTTCTTTTCTTTTTCTGCAGATTTTTAACCTACAGTTATCTGTGTGCTTTCAATTGGCGCCTAATTTTGTATCCGTCGTGTCTATCGTATGATTGGCAAATGGGAAGCATACCATTGGTAACGAAATTGGCAGATTTCCGAAATTTAGAGACTGTCCTAACATTTGCCGTTTTAGGAGCAATATTTTTAATTTTATTAAAGTACACTTCAAGCCATTTGAATAAAAGTGAATCTTTTTATAACCAATCATGTCACAAAGTGAACAACCTTTCTACTTCCAACCAAGATGAAACCAACATTCAGGTAATTTGAGCATTTACACTGAATATTGCACTTGAATGGATAATATTTTCACTGTTTATCTCTTCTTATTTACCAGTCCAAGGATTATTTATATGAACCTATTTTTATTGGTTTCTGCTTCTTGATTGTACCTTATTTGCCTGCTTCAAACCTTTTAACCACAGTTGGCTTTGTGGTTGCAGAAAGAGTTTTGTATCTTCCAAGGTAAGTTTCAGCCATAAGCAAACACGCTTTCAGGATAAAAGAAGAAAAGTTCCAAGTATCGCACAATGAACGAAGATGGAAAATCCTCAATTTAACAAGCATTTGCATTTGTCTTTTCGACGATAATCCGAGTTTCAATAATAGAATTGCTGATGAAATTAACTTTTCCAAACGAAGTTGATCAACGCAACTTGATTGATAGAAGATGAAATGATTTCTTTGAAGTTGAAGTGAATTTGAACATAATTCAACGCTTATTTACTGATTTAGTTCCGATTTAATCACGCAATAATCTTTCTATTAGCAGAAAATGTTTAGCTATCGTTTTGAAATGTTTTGTTTTCTATTCCTAAATTGCATTCAGTCATCAGCAATAACAGTTTTTCAATAGCTACTCAAAAGCAATCTCAACTTTGTTGTGAAATCAAAAACTCGAAGAATCGTGCAAGAGAATTTTCCCTCCAAGAATGATTACCATTGAGTAAAAAAGAGGGAAACCTTTTGCAAATGCTGTAAAATGAGAGAAAATATTAATTTCTACACTTTGGAAAACTCAAGTAAATGATGATGGAATGTTCGTGTAAAAATGAAATGCAAGTGAACACTTCAGTTTATTGAATAACAGTTTAGATTGTTTTTCATCAAATGTTGCTTGAAATTGTTTGTTGAAATCAACTTTCGTTCACTGAACCAATACCTCAATCCAATTGAACTAGCTTTTCCTTTGAAACAAAATACAGTTTGTAATTTGTATGGTTGATAGAAAGACGCTAAAATCAATTTCTTGCATGAACAATACAATTTACATTTTTATCGACAAATGCAATTAACTTTGTTCAATGAATCGTCATTATGATCGTCATTACACACTGCAATGGAAAAACTAGTAAAGAAACTGAATAAAGTAATTTGAAACTCTGCTTCGTTTATGCAAAATATCGAGAGAAATGTCGACTTATGTGCGAATCTTAGCAAACTTTTCTTCTTTCCTTACGTTTAATCGCGATTAATAACAATCCTTTTCTTTTCTTTGCAGTCTCGGATTCAGTTTACTTTTCATAACTGGATATTATTTGATAAAACAACGTCTTCTTTCTAACCATGAACAACACTACACTCGATGGTTAAACATCACTTTTTATAGTCTTGTTATTGTTTTTATGATGAAAACTTTTACACAAAATGCACATTGGCAGAGTCGGGAAACACTTTTCTCGTAAGTAACATTTTTTGTTCATTTCAACAAACAGTTTAACTCATATTCACTCACTATTGCAATAGCGCTGGACTTCTAGCCACACCTCAGAATGCTAAAATGCATTACAATTACGCCAATATGCAAAAAGATAATGGAAACAACGAGTTAGCAGTCCATCATTATCGAGAAGCTCTAAGGTAAATGCACCGAGTAAAAGCACTAACGATGTGTTTAAAACTTCTCTCACCAATTGCTTATTAACTCAAGAGAAAAATTAACTTTGAGAATTTTAACTTTCAGATTGTGGCCAACACATGAAAGCTCATGGAACAATTTAGCGACTCTTTTAGCTGATCCTGAAGAAGCGGAATGGCATTTACTGCAAGCTCTCAGGATCAATCCATACCATCCAAAGGCTCACTTTAATCTCGCTTGTATTTACAGGTTAGTAAACTAATCGATCAATAAAAAGCACTCCAAGTTATACTTTCAATACTCGGTCCAACATTTGTCTGCAAAGATTTTCTGCGAACTTGATTCCTTTCCAATGACAACTTAATAACCTTACCGAAAGCAAACTTTATTGTCACATTATGAAAAGTATACTAATTTTACGCAGTTCAATGTCCAAGAGTAAAGATGATTGAACATCAGTTGATTCAATATCCAAGAGCAAATAATGCAATTATAAAACTCATCTCATCACTGATTTAATAACAATTGAAGGTTCAATTGACCCATTCCAAGATTATCTGTATACATTTATGGGTTAACCAATTATCTGTGTAATAACACAATGGTCCAGATGAGGAAAAATGTTGGCCGAAAAAAGATGTTAACAAGAAACGAAAAGAGCAAAACTTTTCATCTCAATTCCAACACTTGGATATTTTGCTCTTCTTTTTACCTCTTTATTCACCTTCATCAACAATAATGTTAACCTGCATCTTAATTTGAAATGGTTACCAAGAAGAAGGGAGAAAAAATCATTGTAAATCTGTGTATCCATCCAAAGTATTAATTCAGTTTGAACAAGAATAATTTGCTCAATGAGTTTTGTGTGTTCCTTCTTTAAATCAGTTTATCTATGGAAGGCTGATTCTTCTCATTCCACCAACAAAAGAAGATTAAACCATCAAATGGTCTTCCATTAGTGAATTAAAATAGATTTTTACCTCTTCAAACCTCATCTTCTCTTCCATCATCATCCTATTATCAACTTCAATAGATCAACAGTTTGAATAATGATGGCGAAAAATGGAGTAAAAATAAACTCCAAGAAAAGATATTCAATTAATCGAAACAAATGTAAACTCAAACACATCAACTTTAAAAATGATTCAGAAAAAGAAGAAAAGAAAATTCGTTGGAAAATTTCGAAACGAATTAAACTTTTCCAACTTGCAATTCGTCACAAGATTCACCATTTAACCAAAAGTAAATCAATGTTCATTTTCATTGGTAAATATGTTCAACAAACTACATCGAATTGATCATCGAACTTCTTTTCAATGTTCATTTTTCTCTCTCATCAATTCACTTTTTCACTTGAGTAATCAACCATCAGTTTCACTGATCAAATGGACTTAATATTTCCATCCACGTTCTCAATCTCTCATAATTGTCTATAACTGTTATTTTCAGGTAAATTGATTGTTTATTCAGCGTCAGATTTCATCAAATCTTTTCCCATCTTTTCTTTTTTTCCTTCTTCTTCGCTCTTTCATTCATTCTTTTCGCGCTTCTCTTCGACTTCTCATCTTCAACTTGATCCCTTGGAGAGCATTGAATGCAGTTTCATGCATAATGGATGTTAACACTTATTATCTTTCAACACTGACCATTGCATATTGATACATGCTATTCAATTTGCTCGATAATCTCTTCATCGATTCTTTTATTGAAAAATATTTTCTTCTTTTCTTTTCGAATTCGATTGATTTGCAAATTAAAGTTGCTTTTTTTGTTATGAAAAGATTCGTTTAAAATTTAGATTGGTAAAGTTGGCATTTCATTATTCACTTGGAGTTTATTGCATCCATTTATCAATAGTAATTTGAGTAATTTTCATCATCAAATGACAATTGTTTAGACAGAAAAATGTCCAACTTGTCAACTTGTTTCATGATAAATTGATGTTTTTGTTTATTTGCTTGTCCATTTGTCGACCAATTGAATCAAAATAATTGAGATTTTTGTTTCAAGAACAAATAAAAACAGTGAAAAACTCAAACCTTTCAGACAAAAATAATGAACGTGAAACTGATTCCAAATGGAAAAAGATTTACTCGCTACTTTTCTCATTCATTTTTCAAACTTTTCCGAACTTCTTTCCAAAGATAATTGAAAGCGATATCGAAGAATGAATAAACTCATAAATCACAGTCAATTGATAAGCCTGCAAATTTCAGTTCCAATCCAAATTTAATTTGCAACTCAGATCAGCAGGCCAGTGCTACATATTTCTCCTGTTAAACAAGCATTTTGTTCAAATGCTGCATAGCAATTGTAAAAGATTGCTGAGATCATTAACAGAACAGTTAATAAAGCCAATTAAATCTAATGATATTAGTTAAGTGCATCGATGGAATCGAGTTGAGCATGTAAATATGAATAGCAATTAGTATTTGTGCATTTTAATTGAATCTGAAGCTTTCTTTTTTTCGTTTTAAATTGCAATTCGAAGCAAAATTGGTCTTCATTGAGCCTTTTAATTTTGGTATAATTTAGCAGTTTAACACTCATTTCGTGTTATTGATTTCGTCGAAATTGTCATTCTTTGGAAATTATCTTATTGTTTTATTAACTTGTTTGGATATCAACAGCTAAATGTCATGATCACCTGAGTTTAGGATATTAATATTATCCATCATTTTGCGTGCTTATCTGCTGTTCAGCTTTGTTTTCATTAGAGTTTTACCCTTATTCTGTGTCAAACAAAAGTCAATCAATTTCGAGTTTATCAGCTGAAGCATAGCAGTTTCTCTGAGGTAAAGCAATAGTTCACAAATGGGACAAGTTTCATCAACTTTGCCTTTGAATTACTCCTTTTAGTGGCCACTTTTATCGAAGAAATCTTGATCGTTGATTGTCAGAAATGTTTCCGATTGTTGTCAGTATAAATTGGTGAAATAATTGCAATCATTTCTCGCAGCTATTTTACGAAAAAGTTATGAGACAAAAGATTTTGCATTCATTTTTTGGATAACATGATTAGATCATATTTTGTACTCACGCAACCAGGGCTAGCAGGAAAGAATAACTAATTAACTCAGCATTTCTAAGTATTAAAAGATATGAGAGAATTTCTAGATATTTAGTGTCAGTTTAGTATTCTGTCTGTTTATCGAGTTGTCTAATTTCAACACTTGATCAAGTGCTATTGATAACTTGTTCATTCCAAACCTGTACATGATTCATGCAGAGTTTTAGAGGAATTTATTTCACCCAATTACTATCCCTAAATGAACTCGGAAAACCTTTATTTCACTTTGGAGTTTGCATTTTACCTTCAACAACTTTGTATGATATTGTAAAGCAATTTTCCTTTAACTTTTGGCATCAAAACAGTGAGTTTGCAATACTGTGAATGTACTACCCGAAGTAGTTTACCCGAAGAGTTCAACCTAAAAGCTAAAGTCTTATTGCACTGAATAACACCTCAATACTTGTGATTTGATGTTGATTTAGCATCTATTGTAGGCCATTTTAGGATCAAAGTAAAGTTTCGCTGCGAGTATGCTAACAAAGTTTATTGCATTAATTAACGAATGCAGCTATTAATCAAATTTAGTCGAAGCATCTAAACCTTTTCCTATCGAGTGTACATGATTTTGTTGCATGCAAAATACTGCCTATCAACTAGAGAGACATTTTCGTGTCGAGTATTGCATTGCATGTTACCTGAACATTTGCACACTTTGCCCAACACTTTGAGAGAGAACCAATTTATCTTTTTTTACAGAAATTAACCTGATCACTTGGCATTTTTAACCTCGATTTCAAGTCAGAATTCGAATGCTCTTCACCTTTTTTCAAACTTGATGCGTAAAAAACTAACCAAAATATTAATCATTATTTTCTGAAACAAAACTTCTACTCTATTCATAGTTATTTTTAAACATAATAGCAATAAAATATGCCTAAACTTAGTCTACTTTACTAATAATACTACTCGACTTCGTTATAAAAACTCGATTTTCATGTTCAACTAAGTTCTCAACTTTCTAAACCTTCACACAAGATTACTTTAGCCGCGAAATGACGTTGAAATATATTAAAATGGCATTAGTTTTGAAAGCAACTTCCCAATAAAGCAGTCAAAATGGATTCAATGGAACATAAGTTGAAGCAAAATTTTGTAAACTAAAACCATAATTTGAAAATTTATTCAACCAATTTAATTACTGATCAAATTACCGTAAAGTTTCTTGACGACAAACAATGAAGAGTGAATCAATATTGACAGTGGAACAAGTTTAATTTGTAAAAATTGAGTTTGAAACAAGAAACAAGAAAGTCTTCAGTTTACATGTTCCCAAACTATTGGATCACGATTATTTTAAAGCAAATTTTTCAGTTCATCAAGTCTTCATCTTGTAGGTAAATGACGAGAAAGTAAAATTTGGTTAAAATTAATCTCTCAAGTTAACAAGCAAAATTAGAGGGAAACACTGTTTTCACTCTAACGAGCGAACCCATTAAAGACGTCAACCTTTCAACCCAAGACTCTTGCTCTTACCGTTGGACCGATGATTGTCAAGACTGCCGTTGGCCAAGAAAGCATTTAACTTGATTTGAATGTTGCTCACAAAAATGGATAATGAAGCGATAGAGTGAGTTGATTGATGAACATTTAAACAAATGAAAACAAGGATGGAATGAGAATATGATGGGTAAAAGAATAGAAGAAAGAATTCAATTTAAATAGCAAATTAGATGCCGAGGGTGGGAGTGATTCCAGGAGATGTTTCTTATTCATTTTCTTTTCTCCATTCTTTATCCACTTACTTTTATTCCATTTCGTATCTTGTTCTTTTTTCTCTTCTTGTTCTTCTCCTTTTTTCCCGGCAAATCTATTCATCATGTGCTACTTTCAACATGATCATTGTTTTTTCCTTGTTCATCTCATTTCCCATTATTCCTCTTCCTTTCCTGCAAGTCCTTCCCATTCTGGCTCAGTTTTACATTCAATATTCATAATGATATTCAAAGGAAATTAGATTGTGACTTAAACTGTGTGTTTCCAGATTCGCCTTTCAACCAATCACAATGGCAAATGCCATTGTTTACAATCATGAACATGAGATCTGCTGAGAACAAACAAAATTTAAAATTCATTCTAAATTGCATCCTCTTGTTGATGATGAAAATGATCATCATGATAATCACATTCCAAGGAAGAAGAAAAAAAGAAAAGCTTATTTTCTCGATTCAACATTTAAATGAGTAAAGATGATGAAACTTTGAAACTCGAGCAATTTTCACCATTCAACTTCATTGAAGCAATTTTCAACTCTTTAACCAACAACTGTTACAAATGTTTTTTCAAACTTTCATGAGAAAAAATTCATGAACAATTCAATTTCTCATTGAACTTGCTCAAAATGGTTATCCAATCTGTTGGAATCAAATTTTTCTTCAATCAACTTTGTTCCATAATGATATAAATATTGTTGATCAAATTTTAATGGATAAATATTTAAATGTAATCTGATTGTTTGAAAGAAGAAGAAAAGTTTTGCCAAGAAAAAATGAAAATCCAAACAGTTTGCAGGCAAATACATTGTTAAGTATTCATCAACTGGGAGTGTTTTTTATTCCTCTTTTAAATTGCTGGAAATTAAATAACATTTTTTTTTCTTTTTCGTTTTTTTCCTTCCAAATTCACCATTCTTCCATCGCTTTAAAATGTTGCAGTAAAAAAGGTTTAATTAATCAAGCAATTAATTTGCTTCAACGAAGCATCGAGTTGGATTCCAATTTCGCAGAACCTTATTCAACGTTGGCTTCCATTTACGCTGAAAAAGGTTTACACTTGGATGCTGATTTACTCCATCAAAAGTCATTAAAAATTCAACCCAACAATCCTGATTTGATAAACAATTACGGAGCCTTTCTACAGAAAACAGGTAAACTTTTTTTCCTCAATTTTCAACTTCTAATAAAAACGATTGAAACAACAAAACTTGAAACAAATCGGACGCACAAATGAAGCTTAGAAACTCGAGAAACTCAACTTTTGAAACAATAATTTTGGATTTTCCATTCATCAGAGAAAAAGTCAATTATTGAAAAAAATCTTTTATAGCTTTCGAAATCATTTAAGAACTTATTTCAATTTTTCGACAAAAATACAAAGTCTTCATCAATATGTAATAGTAAAAGTTGAAACTTCAAAAATCGTCTTTGGAGTAATTTTGTCGAAATAATTTGCATTTCTAAAAGTTCAGTTTGAGGAAGCTATTAAGGCAAGGTTTAAAGAGCAACTTTTCAGTTTCGATTGGGACAAGTTTGGAAATTCGGCTTTTTGGTTGACATTTGGAAAACGAAAATAAAGCGTTTTCTGTAAATTTTTCGTTCGAATATCAAGATCATTGATCAAGATTTAGTTTTTTTCCTTGTACAAGTGGATCATTGCAAGTGTATAAATACTGGATTGAAGCAAGAAAAATGTTGATTAGTTGGCTGAGTTAAAAGATTCGCCACAAGAGCATTCACATTTCTTGGAACTCATTTCTTCCTTTTCCTTGCTCTTTTCATAATATCCAGAGTTATTTCTTTCCTCGACTCTTACGGTACTATTATGATGGTTAATGTTGTTTGTTTGTTTGTGCTTTGAAACAGATAAAGAGATTCTTGTTAACCATTGAATAGCTTTTTTTGAAACATTCATTTGGATTTGAAGAGGAAGAGAACAGAAAGAATGAATAAAATGATGAAGATAAAACACTTGATAAGACTTAAATATATCTAAAGAATTGGGCGTTCATCTTCAACTTTACTCCAGTTTCTCCATGTTCACTTCATCCATTGATAAATATAAAATGGCCTTTTCTTTTTTCATTATCATTTCCAAGTTTTTCACTCTTCTCATCATTCTTCAACTTGATTGAGCAAAAAAAGTTAAAAAAAGTCAACAATTTTCCCTCGACAAAGAAACGAAACTTTATCCAGAAATTGTTTCAAACTTTTGTTCAAAACTCGCATTTCCAAGTCGAAAAAAGTTGATGGAAAAAATTTGTTAAGAAATTCGGTTTTTCCCAATTTTTCGATTGCAAGTCAAGATTGAGTGAAAACAGAAAAGCATGAAAACTTTTGAACATCAGTTTGGCTGAAACTTTTTGATCCATGTAAATGAAAGAACAAGTTGGCCAAAAACAGGTTCCAAGGTAAACCCATGAATCCGTGAAAGTAAAGCAACAATAGTGAAACATCAAGATTCCACAACATTTGATACTTTTTTTTCTTCCAAGAACAATTTTCTTTTCCAATGTTTTTGACAATATTTTCTCATTCCCTTCATTATCCAGCCAAACCATCATCTTACTCTGCCTTTTATCATGCATCATTTCATCCTTCATGGTTTCATTGGAAGAAACAAAAAATTCTCTCCATTTTTCTCTTTCTTTTTGCATCTCAATAATCTTTCATTTTATCCATCTTTCTCTCTCTCTCTTTCTCTGTATCTATTCACAATCTTCATTATTCATCCTTTTCTCATCCATCTTCTTAAATTATCTTCTTCATCATTTTACTATTTTCTTTCCCTTCTCTTCTCATCTTATTAATACAATTATTAGAGCAACATTTTCCTTCACTCCTTAGCTTTAATTTGATATTAAATATCAAAGTATAACCTTGTTATAAATAATACTTTGGATAAAAGGTATTCATCATTTTCTGTTTGATTGATCTTCTATTAAAATGTTGTTCAACTCATGAATAACATTGTTCAGCTTTTTATGCTCATCCTTTTCCTTCCCTATCAAGTCCAATCTTGTTTTACCGATATTTTTTCACTCCAACTTTTGAGCGAAAACACAAAAAATTTTTCAACATTTTTCTCAAGATGAACTTTTTCATGCAAGATGCAAAAAATGATGTTTAATCAATTTTGATCAGTTGATACTTGGAGTAATTTTGCACTTTTATTGCTTTACCATTCAATATTCAATATCTTCTGGTTAATTATTGCTGGGAATGTTGAACAAATTAATTTTTCCCTTTACTTGCAACTGGATTTGAGAAGCATTTTTCGCTGAAACCAGGTAAAAACAGGCAAAATCGATCAATCATTTAGCATGGAAACATCATTATCTTGATGAAATTGAAGATTAATGCAATTTCAATAAAACAGGTAAAAAGTGAAGCAAAAAATGTGCTGATATTTTTAATCTTTTCATCATTAATCAGATTTGTTGGAAACTTTATTTTGATTGCAAGTCGAGAGTAAAAATGGAGAAAAAATTTGCTTATAGAATATTATTGATGGTTGCAAGAATTAATAAAATTTTTCTTCAATCATGCAAATTGTGAGTTTCCTTTTCTGCAAAATCTTTTCTCGTTCAAACCATTCAATTGAATTATAATTGTATTGATGAAACGTCACACCTTTTACCATGATAAATGACTGCCAAGTGTCGACAGTAAATTGTCTCTGGTGAGTAAATGCATCAAGTTGAGAATAATGATGATAATAATTAAGACAACTCGACTTCATGTAAACATGAGTCAATTGACAGTGAGAGTGAAACTGAATTTTGCTGTTTATCTTTTGTTCCTGACTGATGCTTGTTGATTGAAAGTTTGCCTTTTAGTTTGAAAGGCAATATGAATCCAAGTTGAGGAATGATTATCTTTTTCTTGTTCAGCTTTGCACTTGTGAAAAATGTTGAAATGTTTATTCATTGATGTTGGACAAAATGAGTGGAATAATGAACTTTTGCTAATCAATCATGAAAGAATTGAGCGCGAAGAAGAAAACAATAAAATCATTATTATATTAATAGCTTAACCATTCTTGTAACATGAATAATATTGTGATGTATAAATATCATTAATAACTTTGACTAGTGAAACACTTTTGGAAATAAAAATCTGAGCAAAACGTTGAAATGAAATGGACCAATTTAAAGGTGGAAAGAGTTAAAACAGTGAAGGTATTATAATTGATTGGAGAAAGGGAAAAGGAGAAAAAATAGATTTCAAGATAATAATGTGAATGAAATTGACTGTTTAAGCATGTTGATTGTGAATGAGAAAAGGGGAAAAGAAAAGTGATGAAAAATGATGAGAATGGAGCCAATGAGAGAGAAAGTAAATGATGCAAAATAAAAGCATGGAAAGTGTATTATTTGCAATGAGTAATGTATACAAGCTAAAATGAATGGAACAAGATTAAATGTAAAAACAAAACAACATTTGGAGATTTTATTGGAGGCAAGATTATTCCCTGTTTAAGATGAGGAAACGGATAAATTGTGAGGAAAAGAGAAAAATTGGAAAAGATAAAGATTGCTCATGTTTATGAACAGATGATAACCAATATAACAGTAGATCGATGAAGAGAGAGAAAAGAGAGAAAAAGTTGAATTTCTTTTCTTTTCATTCTCTTTCCGTTTTCCACTTAATATGTATACATGTGCTCATACATCTATGTCCAGAGTTGACAGGCTGGTTAAATTGATGGCTTTCAACTGAAGGATAAACTTTACTTATTATGTATCTGTAAACATATATATTGCTCTGCAGTAGTTGCAGTAGTTTTAAAAATTATTCACAGTTTAATGATATTTATGGTGAACTCGGTAGGAGAGGGAAAAGTTCATGGAAGCAGAAAAGGGAAGCGCAAAAAAGGCAAGACCAAAGGCGAAGAAGAAGAGGGAAGAAGAAGGAGAAAAAAAAGGTTGAAAACAATGGGCAACTATGTAAATGAGATGTTCGTGATTATTAGTAAAGACTGTCCAAAAGGTTGAACAGGGAATGAACGCCAAATGCAAGAAGAGCAAGAGATTAAAGAAGCGTGTTTAAAGTTGAAACAATTGAACAATCGAATTATCTTTTAGTCTTTATTCATTTTTTGTTAACTCGCTTCTTATCGCACGCTAAACATTGTTTAATCTGCTTCTCTAACTCTCTCTGTTACTCTTTACTCTTAAATTACTTTTGTGATTTTTCACTTTCAATACAAATACAGTTAATCTAATTAAAAGATGTTCAGCTATTTGGAAGAGAAGAAGAAAAAAAGTCTTCTTTCAACATTTCCTTTTGTTTAATTTTATAATTTTTCACTCCCTGGTCAGTTGATTCTGGTTCTGCAGCTAACTGCCTTTAGTTTGAATCTTTTAAGTTTGTTTCAATTTTACTCTCAATAGATTCGATTGTCAAAGAATACTTTTTTTGCAATTTTGACCCTTTTGGGTTCATTGTTTTGATAATGAAATGCTGATATTTCGATAGAATTTTGAAAGGAAAATTTCCAAGTCACAATCGATGTCGAGCGAGTTTTCAACTTTTTTTGCTTGACTAAAGTGCTGTGCAAAATTAATTAGAGGACAAAATGTATTCAAGGGAAGACTATAATAAAAATGTAATAATGAAAGGTTTAATAACTTGACTGTTGATCTGCTGCTGTTGTTGGTTAAAATGTAATATCACGCAATCATTTCAATCACTTTTTTTGAAAGGTTAACCATCAACATTCACTTTGTACAGCATCTTTTTAATCATTTTTGCTCATGAATACTTTTGGTCAAGTCAAGTGCAAGTTTACTCGCCATTTTCAACTTTGTAACCTTTCTCTTGTCTCTCTTCAACATTTGTGTCACCAGCAAACTGTTAAATCCTGCAAGTAAAATTTGACTCTCTAATAGGTTGAACCTTTAAAAGGTTCAACTGAAAAGTTGCTTCGATTAAAATTGCATTCTTGTGGTTACAGTGAAAATGGGTTTAGTTGAATGTTTTCCCATGTTGCCTAGTTGACTGATCAAGGTGAATTAGCTTTTAATCATTGCCTTTCCTCGTTTGCGTGGGTTGCGCCGAGATAATTTTACCTTTCACGATAGTAATTATTGCGATAATTTTACTAATTGCAAGGGAATGAATGAGATTCTGGTTAAATTCAATTTTCATTATTAAACATGTTTAACCTGTAATTTGTTGGTGAAGCAAAGACAAGAACCTCGAATCAAACAATTTTTTCCAGAAAACAGAAAACTTATCAATTCTTAAGTTGATGTCAAATGTCACCTTTAAGAGTTATATTTACAGTTGGACTTTCACTTGATATAGAGTTCAACATTGCCATCTATTGATGCTTAAACCAAACTACAGAATAATCTGTTTATCAAGAACATTGGTTTCAACTTGTAATTGTTTTCATTACTCAAGACAGGATTAGGTTTCACCGAGCAAAGATAATTAATAACAATTATCAATCATTATGAATTATGTAACCAAATTCATCATGAAAATTGTATTGTTATAATAACCAATAATAACTGTGATAATTATGATAATGAATGTTAATATAAGAAGTAATGAGATTAGAAGCGGAAAAAAGGAAAAGTGTTGATCAGCTCAATGAATAACAAATGAAATGATAAAATGTAAATAATTGGATTGCATTCATTCACTTTGATTCAGTTAACTTCAATGCTTGAATCTCATGAGCTTTCAGAGCAAAAATGAATTGTTAGGTTTGAAAAATTGCAACTGGTCAGTGATATGGAAATTCATCAATTTGATTAGCTGGGATTTCTTGTGCTAAACTTTATTCATAAGTTTGAATCGATTTTTTACATTTTCTCAAGAATAATAACTTGGCGATATTTAATTTGAAGTGATCCATCATTGCCAGAGCCAATAAGCCACTTGTTTTTGACTGAAAACTTGACCAGCAGCTTTGGCTCCATCACTTGATTTCGAACGAATGCTTTCAGAATTTTCATTTTTTCGCTCAATTTTTCAGGTTTCCATTTTTCAAACAATGAAAGAATCTATGAGTTGCAAGTTTATTAGTTATTGATTAAAAGCCATTTATCAGAATGTTGTTTCAATCGACTTATAAGCAGCTTTTACCTGCTTTTTATCATAGTAAAGGTTGATCCTAATGTCATCTTTGTTTCTTTTTGTCCAACTGTCCAACTAAAGGTCAAACAGAGAAGGCAATAATCCAATACCAAAAAGCATTGAAAATAAATCCAAACCATAAAATAGCCAATGCCAATCTGGCTCAAATCTGGAAATCCCTGAACGATACTAATTTGAAGTATTGGTAAGGTAAGTTAATTGGTGAAAATAATCATTATTAGCTGAAAGATAAGTTTGAGCTTTAATCCAATGAAAAGCGAAAGAAGCTTAATTTTATCAAACTTTTGAGGCTAAACTTTCAGGTTAAGCAACAATTAATGACGAAAAGACTAGAAACTCAAAAAAAATTTCATTCAATTCAACAGATTTTTCTCTCTTTTTTCCCAACAGACCATTGAAATACAAAGTGGCAGTCAAGGAACATTGAAACACTACTTTAACTCATTCCATATACAACAATTTACCGCCAAAAAGCAATAATCATCTACAAAATTCAGTCTTACTGAAGCAGTGAAGTAACAATCGAAACGATTTCATGAAAATTGGAGCTGGATGGCACTTCAAAGCCATTGTATTGAAAAGATGAAACTGGCAAAATTAGATAAAACTTAAACAAAAAACATTTTTTTATATTTTATAACAGCTCAAGAGCTAAAATTGTATCAAATTTTTCTGATATCAAATACCAAATAACCAACTTGTAAAATATTGAAGAAAAAATTAAAACTTCAAGTAATATTCAAAGGAAATCGTCTGAATAAGAGTTGTCTCAACCAATTTTTATACACTCAACTGTGTCAATGCTTGGAGTAAAAGTTATCATTAGTGGAGGAAAATGTTACTATTAGCTGATGCACTCAAAAGTAATACAAAGCTGGCTGTTATGATGTATGGGAACAATGAGAAGGAGAAAAAAACCAATAATAAGATGATGAAAAGGTTGCTTTATTGTTTCAATATAAACATCTTCATTGTGATATCACAAGTTAATAGGCCTTGAAATGATATTTAAGGAAAACATTATCATCATTACAAATGATTCATGTTCAACATTTCTTGACATGATATTGCAGCACAAAAAAGGAGACAAAAAGTAATGTCAAGAGTTGCACTCGAGTTGAGGGTGAAATTATTCGACGTTGAAATGTACACATTGCCCTTGCAAGTCGAGTACATGTTTGGTGTCAAATTCAAGTCAATAAGTTTAACATGAAAATTTCCATAACTCAGATGAACACCAGAAAAACGAAAAAATCAGGCAATCATTTCATTTTTTACTACGATTGCAAAGTAAATCACAGTTTTATCATCTAAAGCATGAAAAATTCTTGGCTAATCATTCATTATTGTTGAGCATTAAACGACTTGAGCCAAAGTTGGTCAAAGTTGGTGGAAAAGGTTTTACCAACTTTTATTAGCATCATTGGAGAGATAATATTTTTTAATGAGAATCATTCCATTGGATCAATTGTGATTCTTGGCTACAATTAATTGACTTTTATGATGCTGCATGGTAAACGATGAGAACAATATTTTCTCGAATTATTCGATAGTCAATTTTTCCTCTGGGAATGATTATTGAAAATAAATTGGATAAACTCTTGTCATAAAGGTTGAACGTCTATTATAACTAACAATCATCATAATCGTCTTGCCATTTTCAAGTTTACCAACAAGTAAAACTTTTATTGCTTTTCTTTATTTTACTTTTTACTCTTTAGCATAACATTTTATCTACAGTTTCTTCTCATCTAAACTGGGAGTTTTTTCCCTCCCTTCTTCATTCCCTGATAGCAAATGGAATGATTGTCTGAAATAAATTGGTTGACAAGTGCCAATGTTATTGCGATAATTAAATGCTTGTGAGACTTTATTGTAATAGACTGAAAATAGAGATGAACACAAGAGGTTCAGTTCAACTCTTTTGTCTTGTGACAAGATTAGCTTTTATTTCATTTTTTCTTGCTCTTTACGTTGCTTCTTTTAAAGGGTTAAATTATGTGTTTTCTGCTTTTCCTTTTCCTTTTGCTGGAAAAAGTTTATCAAGATTTAAATTAGACTCTTGGTAATTTGAAATAAATTGCTTCAATGAGTTTTATAATGGTTTACTTATTCCAGGCAACCAATAGATGAAGACTTAAGACGATGAAAAAATAAAATTAGCATTTAAACGCATTTTTAACTTGCAATAATGAAAGTCGGTTGAATGACAAGAAACAATCAGGAAATAAAAGATGCACCAAGATTACTTTTAAACAAGTCAATAAGTGTACGGTTCAGATGCTCAGATTTTGGGTGATAAAGTGTTTGCAATATCATGAAATCAAAATGAAATGGATGTAGAATAAGCTAACAATGAATCGCAATAAAAACAATAGATTTGATGATAAATAAATATCTTGATGAGAGATGCAAATAAAAGAAGATAGAATTCGTAAATCTTTTTAAATTGATTGCATCTGCAGAGATCGAAACAAAATTTCCTGCTCCTGTCTATAATTTTCTTAGCATGACATCTATTGGCGACACTTCAAACTTTTACAACTATATTTCATTTAACTCAAAATTTATTATTCACTACAAAGATAATGATACCGTGTACTGATGAGTATATTTAATCTTCTTGCATTACCTCGTCATCAAGGCATTCCTATTCTTGTCTCAAAAGTCACCCAATTAGCGCAGCTTAGCCATTTGCAACTTTTTAATTTTGGATGCATTACTGCATAAACCCCTTACAAGATAGATAACTTGAAGTTGGTTGTAAAATGTGAATAATTGAAAAGACTTTCATGGGAATCTGGAGAAATTTTAAGGGCACAAGACATTTGAAATTTAGAGGTTATTTGAAACTTATTTCAAAATCTAAAGTTTTTATAATTAAAACAGATGTGTTTGATGATTTCTCAATGGCCGGTATGCGTTTTTTTTCGAGAAAGTGTTTAAAAATAAAACCGCGGATGGTCAAAATAAAAATCGCATTTTAGAACCTCCGTAGAATACTCTAGTCTTTTACGCACAACAGTTATGTGGAAGAAGTACCAAAAAGTTTGTCACAAATGAAAGGGTAATGGGATCCAGAAGGAAGTTTGATGGAGAGTTTTACCAGCTAGGTTTAGTTTATTAAGTAATAATAATTTCACGAATAGATTAGCTATTCAAATTTATATTAAAATACAATTGGAAATATCAGGAAACTGAAATGGTAGTTAAGTAAATACATGCATCAAATATTGGTATAAAATAGAATATAACTATCTGATGATGGAGAAGATTTCACTGGTTCACATAAAGAGTTTCCCTTGTAACTTAAAGTTGTGAGTTGTTACTAGTCCCAGATTAGATTGGAATTCACACAATAGTCAAATTCACTGCTCAATGTTACGTTGGTTATTTTAGTTTAAAGTGTAAATAGTGTACATAATTAACTTATAGATCACTTATTAGGGTAAAGGTGATTATTGTTAATAGTTAACTTATAATTCACATAATGTAAGTAATTCACTAAGCAATACCAAGTAATAGTAAAGTTGTCCATTAAAACCGTGAAAACTAGTCTGAGTTCAGCCCAGTAGGGCTTCCGCGGGGTCCAATATTGGCGACCAAACAAAGAAAATGTCGGCCATTTTAGGGTGGGGGAGAAAATCTTCTCCCTCACATAATGGCGAAACCAACCAATTGTGGCCTTTCCCTACCTCAAGTAGGTAGGAACAAAAAAAACCAGTTTAAAACAAGTTTGTCTCGCACAAAGAATAAACTTCTCCTGTGATGAAATATGGAAATGAAAATTGCATAAAAATTAGGCATTGCTTTGTTTTCGGTATTATTTTTGGATCAGCAATGAAACAATTTAAATTAAACTTTATAAAAATTACTCCAATGTTTAAATAACTAACTTAAATTTTCAATGGTGAGAACATTGTACATATATTTAAAAGTCAACTTATATCACTAGGGAACTAAGAGAGCACTAACTCTGTATCTATCTTTATTTTATATTTTACATATTTTTATCTTCATCTTCATCCTCTTCATCATCATCAGCTTTAGCATCCTGTAATGGTAGCCTTATAAGGCTACATCTAAAATTAGCGTTAGCCCTGTTTCGAGAGTTGGCAAGATCAGCTTGCCAACTCTCTTATTTTTAGCATTTCCCCCTCCTCAGACTCAAAAGGTCCCTCTTTTGACTAATTAGATGATGATTCAGATGATGATGAAACTTCATGGAAATGTATGTAACATTTTAAGGCCATTTAATAATATTGATAAATAATAATCATTTAGCGGACAATATTCCTATTGAATTAACTAAATTTAGTTAAACTAATAATTAAATAAATACTACGTCCAAGCACTAGTTCCAGTCATTGTCAAGTTACCACTTTGGAGTCATAATTACAACTCAACTCAATAATCCTTTAGTTAAAATAAAGAGTTAGTTTTGCCCTTCTGACCATTGTTAAGAGTAAGAAATAAGACAGGGAAATGGGCAGCATAAAGAAAGAGGAGAATAATTTTGACCATTTCTTTTTCCCAATTTAAACACTTAATGTTTGAATGTTACATGTACAGGGCATTTCAGCTATCTTTACCGATGTTAAACGCTTATTTCTCGGCCTGTGATTAGGCCAGAGACTTGAAAAAAGTTTTATGCCAATTTCGCGAATACTTATTTGGCATATTTCAAGGTCAAGGTCATTCAAGGTCATTTTTCGGAAATCGTCCCTAACAATGTTAGAGGTCAAACTAAGGTCGCATCATAATTTTCAAGGTCAAATAATCGTACTGGTCAAGTCTCATCATTGTCCAATAAGCGCTTTGTTAGTTATTGTCATTTCAATTAATAAACGTTTCAAAATTAATTTTTATGAATATTGCAGAGCTTCGTTGGAGTTACCCAGTCATTAGCACGTGGAGCTGCCCCATACTCCCTAAAAACCTTGTAAAGGTGACGAAAAGTACCTGGAGAAATTTTCAAATACCTTTGATTCCAAGCCTTTTTGGCAAGTCTCAAAGCTTCTACGGCTGATTTTTTTGAGATAATATAAAATTCCAAAAGATCAATTTTTTGGATTTTTGAAAACTTGTGAGTCATTTTGATGATTTGAACGATTGAATGAAAGATAAAATGAAAGGATTGATTGAGAAATCAAATGATGGTGAATGGAAAATCAAAATGACAATAACTAACAGAGCGCTTATTGGACAATGATGAGATCTTGACCAGTACGATTATTTGTTGGAAAATTA